CCCCTCATCACCTTGAATAAAACACGTTATTTTCGATCGATTTCTGCTTTTTGGCATGAGATCTCGACTCAATAAGCTTACAACGTGACTTGAAAGAGTTTTAAGACAAAATATGACTCAATTCAACAAAAACTGCTGTAAGTCAGGTGGGCGCACGTGGCCACCGGAGCGCATTTTCATTGCTATATAGTTGAAGGAGCGGAAGACATCAAAGTGTTCAGGAGGTGTTTCCTGTGGTAGAACTAGTTTTGAAGTTTCACTGGACAATTTCGAAATCAATATTAAGTTTTGCCCGGACAAAGCTCTTCCTCCTCGTCTTCCCTCTGTAAACTCATCAGTTTTTTGGCTTCCTCCTTCCTTCTCCTTCTTCTCGAGAGTTTTAAAAACAAACATGGCAAACAGCAACCATTTCATGAAAAAAGTAATTTTACTGCTTAATGATTTCCTGTACAGTTGTTTGTTTAATGAAAAAAAACATACTGCTTGAAAAGGAGCATGAGAAACACACAATGATGTGTGTGAAAAAAATGTTGTAATAGTGTTCATCGTTTTTGCTCAGAGTTTGATTTTCCTTGTAGCAAAACAAATTTTAGTACCGGACTACCACATATTGTAAAACGCGAGATATCTCAATTAAAAAATTTTTGGAAATTTATTTTATTAAAAAAATGAGCGGCAGATGTCGAGTGCCTTCATCTTACAACGTTCTTTCAGTTTTTTTAAACTAGTAAGAAAACATATCAACAAAATAAATTCTTACTGATAACAAAAACGGAGCTTTTCTATAAAGATAATGAACAGAAACGAGCGAAAACACATTCGGAACTATCCTCATGGCAGATGACCCCGTCCGAAACGTTTTAAAATTCGAAATACCAGGGGCCAAATTTTTCTTACACTTTCAAATGTGTGTGTTGGAATAATCAAATGTGTTTACTGGAGTAATTGATCATGTGCAGTTGTTTTTAGAATTGAACAGTTCTGAATGACCGCTAAATGGTCTCTAGTACCTGTTCTGCTGGTATTATATGGGTTTACGAAGGATTTTAAACCGGGCGAACCGTTTCTTTTCAAATATCAAACCGACTTCCTGAATCTCACCGAACACGAGCTCAATGGCGAGGTCAGTTGTCATTAACTTTTTATGCGTTTTTTGCAGCAATGCAATGCGAAAAACGCATATTGACGAGAGGTTGTCTG